TATAAATATAAATATAAATATAAATATAAATATAAATATAAATATAAATATAAATATAAATATAAATATAAATATAAATATAAACATAAATATAAATATAAATATAAATAAAAACAAGAAAATATAAAAATGAAAAAAGCCGAAAAAGTGCCGCTGAGGGATTTTGCCTGAAAAGCCTCCTCGCCTACAAAAAGCATTTCTGAACTTTATTTTTTTGTTTTTTTTTCTTTTTTTCTTTTTTTTCTTTTTTCCTTTTTTATTTTTTGTTCTTTTTTGTTTCTTCTACATTTCTAGCTGGCTCGCTGCATGCAAATGCAGCTTTGAGAAAAAGAATTTCGAAGAACTTTTTTTTCTCTACACTTTGGCTCAGGGGGCCCCCAGGGCCCCCAGGAGGGGCCCCTAAAAAGGCCCCTAGACAATACCTCAGGGGCTTTCTTCTAAAAGCCAAGGGGCCCCCTTCTAGGGACCCCTGGGGGGCCCCTAGGGGGCCCCTGGGGGGCCCCTGGGGGGCCCCTGGGGGGCACCTGGGGGTCTCTGGGGGGCCCCCCAGAGGCCCCCCTGGGGGTCTTCGTGGGCCCCGTCAAGGGGCCCCTAGGGGGCCCCTGGGGGCCTCCCTGGGGTCTTCTTGTAGGAGCATCTGGGGGCTTTCTTCTAAAAGCCAAGGGGCCCCCTTCTAGGGACCCCTGGGGGGCCCCTAGGGGGCCCCTGGGGGGCCCCTGGGGGGCCCCTGGGGGGCACCTGGGGGTCTCTGGGGGGCCCCCCAGAGGCCCCCCTGGGGGTCTTCGTGGGCCCCGTCAAGGGGCCCCTAGGGGGCCCCTGGGGGCCTCCCTGGGGTCTTCTTGTAGGAGCATCTGGCAGCACCCACAGGGGGCCCCCGAGGCCCCTAGGGGGCCCCCGAGGCCCCTAGGGGCCCCCGGAGGCCCCTAGGGGGCCCCTGGGGCCCCCAAAAGGGGGCCCCAGGGTCCTTTAGTGCAGTGAAGAGCCAGGGTCTTTTTTTTGAACCTTTCAGGAGAAAGAGAGAAAAGGAGACACTTGGAAGTGTCTCTTAATAATCGAAATTGGACTTTTAGAATTGTTTGCCACTTTGGCAAAATGTTTTGCAGAAGAAAAATGCAAAAAATAGAAAAGTTGCAACTGGATAAGATTGCTTATGTTGGTGTACATACACTCGAATATATAATGCCATTATCTTCTTTTTGAATTTATTATTCCATTTTCTTCTTTTAATAAATGAACACTTTCGAGGCATTTGGAGTTGTTTTGGGATTTATTTTTCGTGGCAGCAAGAAAACGCATGCAGCCCCAAAAGAGGAAAAGAAATGAAGTGCATGCAGCAGCGCAGCAAAAAGGAAAATGGACAATTTTGAAACAAAAAGAACTTTTGAAAACAAAAAAGAAAAAGCCAAAGAAGATAGACTGCTCTCTTTAAAAAGCATTTTTGCAAAAAGTACTTTTGCAAAAAGTACTTTTTGTAAAAAAAAGTACTTTTTGCAGAAGTACTTTTTGTCCATACACCGCAGCGCCACAGACACCGCAGGGAATCTTCCGTTCGGGTGTATAGGCAGCTCTGAGGTGTACAGGCAGCTCTGAGGTGTATAGGCAGCTCTGAGGTGTACAGGCA